GCTTGCGGTGTGGAAACACTGGCAGAGGGCGTGGGCTTTCAGATGGGGCCTCCCCGTCCAGAGAACGCAGAGGCTTCCCGCGCTTCATGAACGCTTTTAGGAGATGACTTACATTTTCTAAAGAATGGGAAAAATTTGTTTATGAACTCGTTGTCTTTCACCTGATTCTGTGTGAGTTCGATTGGTTCGAAGGGGAATTGGACTTTATTTTGAGCAAAATCATGGAAACAAGATCTAATCAACACAGGGTTATAAATTAATCTAAAAGATGTACTTACTGTCTAAAACAAAATATTTTTTATTATTTTGCTCATTTTAATTGAAAACAAAATAGTGTAAGCAACCCCCCCCCCATCAAATGTTACGTGATTAGGGATTAAGAGGCTTGTTTTGTACTGGGGCCTGAACACAGGCCTTGGCATGAGCTACGTCCCTACCTCTTTTTCTAAAATATTTTTGAGATAGGGCCTTGTTAAGGCATTAAATGGCCTAGACTGGGCTGGAACTTGTGATCCACCTGCCTCAGCCTCCCAGAATGCTGGCATGCCCAACTAGAGCTGGTGTTTTGGACATCTTCATTCACATAAATGAGAGACAGAGAAAGAAGGGAACATTTGTTTTTTGGATTCTGTGTCTACTTTTCACGGTAATCTCTACAATGCCAGGCCTTTGGTGACTGAGTGAAGCTCCACGGAGATTCATGGATTTATTCCTTCAACCCATAGTTATTTTCCACTCATCCACCAGGCACTGTTCTAGGTCCTGGCAGTTAGAGAGCAAAGAACAGAGCGCAAAGTGGATGGAAAGGAGGGATGCTTGGTGAGCTCCCCTTTTCCCTTTGAAACTCAGGCGGTGCAGAGCCACATAAGGGTTTAAGCCACCTTTTGAGCCTCTGGACTTTCTGCCTTTTCCTGGGTGTCACCTTGCTGCTAGCCCTGGATCAGGCGAGGATTCCCACCTGTGCATCAGTGGCTCCCACCAGCAGAACTTTGAGAGGGGCCAGGATCGCCACTCATCTTTGTAGACCTGCTAACAAGGACTTTGTGTAAATAACGACTGGAGAGAGGATGAGAAATTACAATTGCCTCCCTTAGCTCTGTCTTATTTTGCTCCCACTACAGAACCTTCTTAAAACTTGCAAATATGTGAGAAAGAAAGGGAACATTTGTGTTTTGTTACACACATGTGCAACATTCTGCTCTTCTAGAGTAATTGTAAAAAAGAAAAATCGGAGCCAATTCATCTCTAATCCAGGAGAGTTGACCTAATTAATTGGCCAGTCCATAGACCTAATTAACTGATCAGTCCATAGATTTATCTACTTTGGTAGGAGATGCTCTTCCTCAACCTCCACTGATCTTAAAGCCGTTCTTTTTTGGTACTGTGGATCAAACTCAGGACCTTGCTCTTGGAAGGCAGGCACCCAGCACTACTGAGATAAATTCCCAGCCCTAGTTAAAGGCACTCTTAATCCTACCTTTGCAGTTCCTGTGAATTCTCAGGGATTGTGTGTACAATGTGCACCGGCATTTTGTCTGATTTCTTGGTGGATTTAATAATTTTAAAACATTTAGCTTCTAACTTCACTGTTAGAAAACAAAGAGGTGGTAACACCATTCTGGGAAGCTTTTAAGAAGCTGATGTCAATAGCTGCTTTTTATTACCCCTTCTTTTCAGGGTGGGCGGCTCGACCTTGGCACCCCACACAGTCTAAGTGGACCGGTGAGTAACTGCTTCACTATCAAGAATTTTACCACATAAGTGTTGAGTGAAAAGGAATGAGGGTTAGATTTATTATAATAATTGCTAAGTAAAATCTCACTTGTCTCGCTGGATAAAAGGTCAATCAAAAATACAGAAAAGTATGAATTATAAGATTCATTTAAAAACAAAGTGTATTGAAGTAGAGAAGGCACAGGAGCAATCCAAGGCCATGCTTTTGACTCTCCAGAGCTGTGTGGCTTTGGACAGATTACTTAATTTTTGTGAAATTTAGTTTTACTGCATGTTATCTGGGAGGTTGGGCTGAGTGGCCTCTAATGTTTCTTCTAACAATTGCAGTTTATGGTTTTATTACTTTCAGCACATTTATTACAGTGCCTGCTGACTCAAGATGTCAGCTGGCACCGGGCCAGGTCCTAGAGACCTGCAAATGAATAAAACAGTGTCTGTTTAGAAGGACCCGAAACCTCCTAGATGCATCGTGAAACCTGGGCCGCACAGCGTCGTGAGAGCCGGGAGAATGGTGTGTGTGTGTAAGGTGTGTTCAGAGGAGATGCAGGAGAAGATACCTCACTGCCTTCAAGGCCTCCACACTGAGACCTGAAAGGGGAGAGTTTTCTAGAAGGACCAGGAAGGGAAAGGCCCATCAGTAAGAGAGGCCGTGTACCAAGACACAAACGTGTGAGGGGGTCTGCCGTGCTTAGGGAAAACAGGGCATTTGAGCTTGCTTGGAAAATGGGTACATGTGTGTGAGACGGAAGGAGAGGCCAAGGCTGGCAGTAAGGTAGTGAGGGGCTCTGTATCCATGCTTGGTTCTTGGCCTTACCACACAAGAAGATGAAGTCATAGAGAGTGTAAGAGGAGGATGTGACCAGCTTGGTTTTGCAGAGATCCTGAGACAAAAGGATACTTCATGAGGCTCTAGGCACCTAGTGAAGACCACAGAAGAAGTCAGGGCAGTGAGGAGGACTGCGGTGGACTGCAGGGAGTCAGCAGGGCATGGTGAGGGCTGGTCCGCGGGGTGGGAGGTGGGTGGATAGATGTAAACTCAGATGGTTGTAGCAGATGGATGGGAGACAGAGGAGAAAGAGCAAGTGTGAGGGTGGGAAGTGATGAGCTTCATGTTTCATGTGCTAAATTTGAGTTGCTGTTAAGCACCTAAGTGGAGATGTTTACTGATGTCTGTGTGGCTGTCTAGGTCTGGAGCCACAGTTACAGATTTGGGGTTATTTACATGTGGCCTGTGGAAGGAATGGTTGATACATTCAAAGCATAGGCCAGTCAGAAAACGTAAGGCAAAGTGTGCCAAGTCTGTGCAACGGGTGATCAGGCAGTTGGAAAATATTTTGAGGGAGGCTGTGGGGGAGCATGGCCAGCAGGCAGTAGACTTCCCGCATGCTCTATCTGTGAGGTTTGAGCCAGGCTGCTTATGTACATTCACCGCTCTGCTGTCCTGGAGTTTGCCTGTTGCCAGGTCCCCAGTGGAGAAGGTGTTCCCACATTGGGTGCTCTGTGGCCTCTGGTTTTGCAAAGATCATGAGACTAGAGTATCCTTTATGGGGCTCAGGGCTTAACTTGGCTCAGCCACCCTCTTCCCCTGCTTGTGAACCACCCCAAGGTCCGGCCTGTCTGCAGTTAGGACAGTGCTGAGTGCAATCACAAAGTTCCTGGTCCTTCGGGGCCTCCGCTTGCTTGGTAGATTTCTATTTCTAAAAGGTAATGTGATGCTTTTTGTTACTCTGCACTTTCATGTGACAAGAAAAGTTGCATTTCTTCCATCACCATTATCTGTTGCTATCTGTTGTAGTGTATCCAAGGATGTTACTTTTGGAGCTCTGTAGACCAGGAAAACTGTGCTGTTAAGTGTGTAAGTATGGCTTGCGTTTCTGTTTTGATATGGCTGCTTCCTTGCCAGGGAAGTTGTCTAAGAGGACCCCCATTTGCATTTCCGTTGGTTTCCTACCAGTTTGCTTGACTCCAGAGGGAGACTGGGCTAGCCTGAGCCATCCGTATGAATGGAGGACACTGAGATCAACATTGGTAATGCAGCAGGGCCTAAGGAAGGGCAATGCAATGCAGGCCTTGCTGGGTGCCCAGTTGCTCCAAAACCACATGGCCTGTTTTAGTAAAATGTTAGGTATTTTTAACTTTCCTTTTCTCGTGTCATTCTCGAATGTGCAGTTATCCAGGGTCTAGAGAACTGTCGTCTGGCACAGGGCCTGAGTATCTGCACTTTGACAGGCTCATGGACATTCTGCCCTCCTGGTCCCCCGGCCGCGTGCTCCCAGCAGCAGGGTGCTGCATTGAGTTCAAACTCTTTTGCAGGGCACATGGTAGCTATGGAATCCAGAGGTTATCAATCTACTCTACTTCATGTAGGAAATTCATTTCAGATATTTTGTTTTTCATTTTTCATTTAGTCTAGCTTTGCCACGCAAAGGTGTATAACTGAATTACTGTTCTTAACATCTCCATTCTCTACTTTGTTGTCAGTAAATTAGAATAAAATCCCTTACGGATACTCTTGACATATTGGTAAGTATTCTGTCTTTGTACAAAAGGATTTTGTCTCTTAAAAGTGGGTTCCTTTGTTCAGGTAATAAGTTAAATCTGTAGGTTATGGTAATGCAGGGTAATCCTAATATTTTCCATCACCATATCAAATTGCAACGCTGATATTTAAATAAAGACATAACTGTTCCTTATTTACATTTCTCATGGTTTTTCTTATCTGGTTTGCCCCTGCAGTCCTCGATTTCCAGATTTACTTATGCCCATGCCCATATTTGTGGTTGTGTGCTCCATAGAAATTATGACTAGAGGGGCCTTTTACACCTGGACTTAGTGATTGTTATGTACTTTTAACAATTGACAACTGAATTTTTTAATTTTTATTTTCATTTTTTGGTACCAGAGATTGAACTCAGGACCTTGTGCTTTTGAGGGACGACTGAATTATTTGTCCACTTATGTATGTGGTCTCTTCTGCGCCAGTGGGCAGGACATTCTCTGTAGTCCTCAGGCTGTGTTCCCTGCCCACAGCGTGAGGCGCACGCGCACTGGCCCCGTGTCTGGACAGGAAGTGGGGAAGAGCCACTTGTTCGCTGCTGGGCAACAATCCAGGAAGCAGCGTGGGTGCTGGGGATCCAGGCCGGGCAGGGGAGCCTACTGGCTGTCATTTCAGTCTGTCTCCCTGGGCCTCTGGGGACACCCTATGCCCTCATGTGCAGTGTCACAGCTCCTCCCTTGCTTGGCTGATATTTGCTAGCAGACATCCTGCTCCACCATCTTTTCCAATAATGCAAACCCAGTTTAGAGCCATTCACACAGTGGCCTGCTGGGGTGACATTTTGTTTATGTTTTGTTTAGTTGTTTATCAGTGGTGGGGCAAATTATTTACAACTTCAAGATTTTAAGTCATTTCCTTTCCTTTTTTTCCTATACAGAATGATGTGTACGTCGCCGCTTATGAGGTGAGTTGATAATTACTTAGAAAGCATATTATCAGACCCGTGTATTCACCTCGGATCTTTATTAAGAATGAAGAAATGTATGACCTTCTTATGCACAGACTTTCTCCCTCAGAGAGCTGTTAGTCTAGGTACAAAAATGATGGTTGATTCCATTGTGGAATAAATATTTGTTGTGTTGTATATTTATTTAGAATGTGTGTATTTACAATGTGTATATAAATATATCTGAGTATGCACAGATATATACAAATGTATATATTTGTGTGTGTGCACATGTGCTCAGCCCTGGGCTTCTTGAGGGGCTGGTTTTAGGAGCCCCTGTGGGCACTGAGTCCTTGATGATCAAGTCCCTCCTGTAATATGACATAATACTTGCAGATAATCTGTGCGCATCCTGATGCACACATTAAATCACTCGTAAATTACTTATAGTTCCTAATACAGAGTAAATAGCTGCTACAGTTTTTAAGCCATAAAAATAAGAAAAATCTCTGTAAGTGTTTGATCGAGGAGCAATTTAAAGAAAATATTTTTGACCCTTGGTTGACTCTGCAAATTGGAACTGCTACACTGTAGGCCAACTTTATATGACTCTAATCTGGCTTGAAATATTGCATCCTGGAGCCTGGGCAGGGGAGGGGAGAATGACAGACTCCTCCCCAATTCATCACATTAAAATGCAGTTTTCTTCACTGTTCCACACAATGCTTGCCAACATTTGGAAACAGTTTTCTTGTGCTACAAGAGCACACTGGCTCCAGCTCTATGGTCTTCTCTTGACTTTCTCCTCTTCAGAAAAACCATGAGAGTTTGAACTTTTCCTGCTCAGTCTTTTTCACTTACACTTGTCCTTCCTGGATTCCATCCCCTCAGGATTAGGTTATTTGACAGCAAGTGACAGAAAGAAGCTATATTATTTCTCACCTTAAAAATCTATGCTGTGTTATGTTTGAATGCTCTTGAAGCCAGAGGAGAGAACTGCATTTCCCTGCCTGGGGAAGGACTGTACATTATCCACCATTCCTAAAGCCAAGCAATTCCTTCTTAATAGACAGCAAAATAAGAACATAAATTGAGCTGGGACTTTCCTCAATGATCTGTGGTCACTCTGCCCGTGGGACTTTCCTTGGAATGGGTGGAGGTGGGGTGGGCTAAGATGTGGATAAACACGGAAATTTAGCGATGTGTCAACAGACAATTACACATCTCTCTTAACTGAGATTTTAAAAGAGCTTCCTGAGAACTATTTTATGTGATTAAAGCAACATTGTCCACCCAAGTGCCACAAGAAAACAGGGAGAAAGGTTCGGAAGCCACGGAGCTGCCCGGGTGACATATACAACCTGCTAATCATTATGTTGCCCAGGCATCTGAATTTAGAGCCTGTGAATATTTTCCCTTAGTGCTGTACCTAATTATTCCACTGTACTTTGCTATTTCACACTTTAACATGGTGCACATTAGGTAGCAGAGAAATACATGTAGTGTGGATGGATGCGTAGACGCGGAGTGAGTGCTGTGACTCAGTGGTGCCACCTTCAGGAAGTAAGACTGTGATTGTTAGTACTCCACCCAGTGAAGCGTGGCAGTTGTATCTCAGGCTCCTTGGAGCAAAGTCTGAGAGGTAAGAGCTTAGAGAAGCGTAACTTGGGAAGAGACAGGGCAGTGGCGTGGCTCACTGTCCGCAGCACCTCAGCTTGTGTGAGCATCAAACATGGACGTAGCACTCTGGGCTTTCCCGCTCTCCTGTCCTTGCCGCTTCCCGGCTCCTGTCTCTGGACCACAGGGCATGCGTCCCTGCTGGCAGGCTTGCCTTGGCCCTCAGACCTGCTCAAGCCCAGCCCTTCTTCCTGCTCCACCACTCATCTTGGCCCGAGGGTCATCTTGCACTGCCCGCCGCTGAGCAGAGGGAAGGCTTCTCCCGCAGGCCACTCCCTGTGCGTGGACTTGTTTCACTTTCCTCGTAGCACTTTCATTACCTGAATGTTTAAAAACTTGTTATTGATCATTGTCCCTTCACTTCTAAGAACATGTAAGTTCTAACAAGGCAGGGAACTTACCTGCCTTGCTAATGCCATATTCTTAGAGCACCCCCCCAAAACAAAAAAGCAAAACAGCCCTTGGCACAGAAAGGCACTGGATAAATACTCTTGAATGAGTGAGTGATCTTTGGGAAAACAAAGCTGCTGTTCCCCTGGAGGGTGGTGGGTGCAGCTTCCTCGGGTTAGAGTCAGACAAGGTACCAGCGGCACTGGGCTGGGCCGGGCAGCCCAGAGTGGAGCCAGAGGGACAGCAGGACGGTGTAATCGCATTGGAAGAGGAGGTGTGGTGGTATCTGCAGGTGGTGACGGCCTGGTGGGGCAGACACGGCCCCACAGTGAGAAGAGCAGCTCAGAGGCTGAATAGGCTGTGAAACCGCCCACCAGGCTTTGGGTCAAATTCTGTGAATTGCTTACATCCGACACCTTTAGGTTCTCTCGAGGCAGCCCAAACTTGAGAACCCTCGAGAGCCTCACGAGAGGTCCAGTGTTGCTCAGCACCACACCTGTGTTTGGTGCATAGCTTCACCTCCCCTTAGAATAGCATTTAAGCTCTTGGACAAGTGGAAGTTTTACAGAATATTTTCTTGAGAAGTCCAGAGAAATAGGGCCACACCTTCTTCTGACTGTCAGGACTAGCTATACTTCCAAATAATCTATATTTCTGACTTTGTCTCCATTCTTCTCCCTTGGTTTTCTTTCTTGAAAAAAGAATCTCATATGAAACATCTGGCTTGTTGTTTCTTTCTGAAATTAATGAACATGTTGAATACCTTTTCCTGGAATTTTCAAAGAGGATGTGAAAAGCTCACCAACCTTTTAAATTGAATAGTCCTGATCCCAAACCAGAGTATTTACATTAATCCTTAACTGAGCAAATCAGGGCTTATGGGGCTTCACCTGCTTCAGTGTGCAGATCAGATAAGGAAGGGTCAGCGCTAGTGCACTGCAGCCCTCCCTCCAGGGCAAGTGTGTGCAACTGCTTTTCTGCTCCCATAAGGAGAAACAGCTGTTGTTACAGTTGTAAACTGAAGGAGAGGAGGGAGATCCATCGTGGCTGAGTTGCAGTTTTATGATGTGTGCTTTTCCTGCAAGTTCTTTTTCTGAACCCAGCGATAATGCATCTGGTAGGACGTTTTCTCAGTCATCAAATCTGTGCTCCGTTTTTCAGTTGATGAGATAAGGGGTTCATCATCATTAGGGCTCTGTAGATCGTAAAGTTCAACTTTGGTTGAACTCCATTAAAAGGTTCAGCTATTATAAAAATTGACAGTCACTTTTTAATTTTCCAAGGAAGGCATGGATAGCACAATAATCAGCAACCCACAAGCATCATGTTAGGCTAGAAATTTAGG